AATACCCGTTCAATTACCGATGTCTTACCTTGGCATCTTCCTAAGCAGAGATATGAAAGACCTTTACAATGAAAACTACAAAACACTGCTCAAAGAAATGAAAGATGACACAAACAAGTGGAAAAATATTCCATGCTCATGGATTGGAAGAATCAACATTGTTAAGATGTCCATTTTACCTAAGGCAATCTACAGGTTTAATGCAATACCCATCAAATTACCACTAACATTCTTCTCAAACCTAAAAACAACAATACAGGAATTCATATGGAAATATGAATGGCTAAGAATAGCCAAAACAATCCTCAGCAAAAGGCACAAAGTAGGAGGTATCACACTCCCAGACTTTAAACTTTATTGTAAAGCTACAATAATCAAAGCGCCTGGTATTCGTACAAGAATAAGCATAGAGACCAATGGAACAGAATTGAGATTCCAGAAGCAAAACCTCAATTTCTCAACCAACTCATCTTTGACAAAACCTCCACCACCAACCACTGGGGAAAGGAGAACCTATTCGGTAAATGGTGCTGGGAAAACTGGCTGACCACATGCACACCTCATCAACAAGGGTACCCGATCTTAAACCAGGTGAAGTGGGGACCAAAGCGAGGCCCAAACTTGACCTACACAATGACCATTTTATACCTGACCCTGACTTGTACCCCACATCTTTCAAATAAAAAATAATGATAATGAAAAGAAGCTAAGAAATTCAGTAAGTGATCAAGGAAGAAGTAGAACTGGACTTGAATCCTGGCCTGTCTGTCCCATCAGCCGCCCACCAGACGGTAGTCTTGTCCTGCTTCTCAGAGACAGGACCCCTACCTATCCCCATACACAAAAATCAACTCTAAATGGATCACAGACCTAAATGTAAAATCTCAAACTATAAGAATCGTAGAAAATGCAGGAGACACCCTTATGGAAATTGGAACTGGCAGCCAATTCCTGATCAAAACCCCAAGTGCCCCTGCCATAAGAGATAAGATAGACAAGTGGGACCTTATCAAACTGACAAGCTGCTGCAAAACCAAAGAAACTATCAAGAGAGTAGGGAGCCCACAGACTGGGAAAAAATATTTGCCAACTCTATGTCTGACAAAGGCCTAACATCTAGGATCTACAAGGAACTCAAACGTGCCGGAAAGAAAAAAACAAACAGCCCCATGACAAAGGGGGCAAAAGATAGGAGTGGACGGTTCCCCAAAGAAGACACACGAGCAAACAACAGATACTTGAAAAAATGCTCAGCCTCACTAGTCATCAAAGAAATGCAGATTGGAATGGAGACACCTCCTAACTCCAGTCAGGATGGCCATCGTCAGTAACTCGAAAAACAGCAGATGCTGGAGAGGGTGTGGCAAAAAGGGAACAGTGCTGCACTGCTGGTGGGAGTGTCAACTAGTGCGGCCTCGGTGGAAAACAGTGTGTTGATTTCTAAAAGTTCTAAAAATCGACCTTCCATACGACCCCGCAATCCCCTTACTGGGAATATGCCCGGAGGAACTCAATCACTCTTTGAAAAAGATATCTGCACATACATGTTTGATGCAGCATTATTCACAATAGCAAAAACAAGGAACCAACTGTGCTGCCCATTGAAAGAGGACTGAATAAAAAAAATGTAATTGGGTACATATACGCGATGGAATATTACGCAGCCATAAAGAAGGACAAAATTATGAACTTTGCAGCAACTTGGATGGACCTAGAGCCTATAATACTCTGCGATCTTTCACAGAAACAAAGTACCAAGTACACATGTTCTCACTCCTAAGTGGACCTTGAACAAGTATCGCAGTACTGTCAGAAAAGGACTGACAGTAGCGGGAAACTGCAGGGGTGTTGGGGGGCGGGGAGATGGGATTGGCAGTAATGGGAAACTGCCTGGGGAAGAGGGCGCCCAGCTCATTAACAAGGGCACCTGCACAATGAACATCTGCATACCGAACCCTGAACTGCACCCCACAGTTTTAACATAAAAGACTTAAAGGTGAAAAAAATGACCAATTTCTGAGCTTCTGCACTGTAAAACGGGAAATAACAGTACCTACCTCACAGGTGTGATAGGAGTCACAGTCCCTGGTCCCCACCCCGGGGCTGTTGCCAGTAGGTACCGTTGTTAGCTGTTCCTGTGATCACTCGCCAGACGCGTGGGGCTTGTGCTCATCACATGTGGTGGTTTACATCAGTTGAAGTGTCCCAGCTCCTTGTTGCCATCTCCAGTGCGCAGGTGCCACGTGTGCCCGGTGGCTGCAGCGTCGAGGCCTCTTCTGTCACGCTTTTTTCATGCTTTCCTGCCTGTTTCTTCAGTGCCCCCAGATCAGGTCAAGGGCATTTCCCCGCAGCGAAGTTGGCCGTCCTAGGGCTGAGGGACTTACCACAGGACGTCTTAGGAGTGTACATCCAAAATTTAGCTGCTGAAAACAGTGACCACAACGTGTTTTCAAAAGCCTCGAAGTGCTGACCCTGCCCCCGTGACAGGGACCGCTTCAGCAGCTCCAGGCAGAGCCTGAGTGCGAGTCTCTCCTGGATTCCAGGACCGGTGGGCTCAGGACAGAGAGCCTCTGGAGCCATCAGCACTGGGTTCAACTCCTCAGGCTGTCATCTCCTAAGGACACAGCACGTTCACTGTGGAGGCAACTTCCAGGATCTCTTAAGGACTGTGGCGTGTTCACAGTGGGGGTAGCACCAGGTGCGACTTCCGGGGACTCCTAAGGATGTGACACGTACACTATGGGAGGTTTCTCCTCATCTCCTCTGCGCACCCAGGCACAAAGTCATATGTTCCGTAAAATTTCTGCCACAGCTGATCTGAGATACTCAGTGCCTTTTGTAATTATCCTGACTCTAATAGGCATCCTCAAGTGCCTCCCATCATTTTGGGAGTGCCCCTGAAATTTTATTTTTGATGCCTTCTCTGGACGGCAAGAAAAACTGGAGTTTGCGGCTTGAGAGGTGGAAGTAGCCCAAGCCACCTGAACACTCAATTTAATAAACTTGTATGTGTATCACCAGAGACGTTCAGACTCCACGCAACAATTCTGGAAGTGTTCTGGGAAGGAATGAAGATGCCCACGGTATTTGGCTTGGTCACTTTGTGCACAGTGTATCAAACCTCCTTTCTCAATGGGCTGACCTCTACTCAACAGGAGATCGGGGAGGCTGCCGACAGACCAGCCGAAGAAGAACAGCCAAGCGTTGTGAGCTGAGCCAGCCAGGTGGGGGGCAGGAATTACGGAAATGGCCAGAGGTGCAACCCAGCTACACGTTGAACGTGGCTGCAGCTGGGAGAGGAGGTTGGGTTTCCGTCAGAGCTTCAATTAACCCGAGAATGTGTTCAGTTTAGCCAGCAGAGATTGAGGACATCTTCAGATAACTACAGAAGCCATAAACACTACCTGAGGCCAACTGGGATGAGAAGGAACCACGACCAGCTCATTCTGGTGGGAGAGCCCTGGAGTGTAAACGTGGAGGAAAACCACCTTCAGAGCCCATTCACCCCGTGCTCTGCAGAGGTGGGATAAAAGTCTCGAAGAGGAGGAGCCAGCCCCAGGGGTGCCTGCAGTCCCAGCGACCCAGGAGGCCGAGGCCAGAGGATGGCTTGAGCTCAAGGCCAGCCTGGCCACACAGTGCGATCCCCACCTCTCCAGAAAGCAAAAGAGGAGTCAAGACGGGTGCCAGCTACCACCCTGCCGTGTCCTTGGTCCTCCTTGACTGGGCGGGGTGGCCTCACAGGCCTTCAGAGGCTGCCGCAGTCACGAGTTGAAAGACGTCTGCGGGGAGTTTCTCCCCCAAACCTGGAGGTCTCCTCGCCCCCTGAGAGACTGGGCTGCCCTCTGCGTCCCAAGTGCGGGAGAGAGACAGGACAGGGGACGAAAGCCAGTCTCGAGAGCCAAGCCGTTGGAGCAGCTTTGCTTTCTTCACCTAGGATGTTGGACCCAGCTGCTGCTTTGGAAGTGTGCGGTCTGTGAAGCTGAGCGGGCTCGCGGAGCTGTAGCAAGAGCGAGTTCTCAACCCGAACCCCACGTGCCCAAGCTATCAACCCAGCCCCACAGAGACGGTTTCCCCGCAGACCTTTTAGATGTAGATCGAAAACGGAGCCAGTACACTCACGGGGTCTGTTAAGTGTGGTGTTTTCTGAGGCCCAAAATTCAACCTGAGACTTGTTCACCTTTGCCAGAGCCCTTTGATCAAGAACTTTAAACATTCCCCATTTTCCTGTAGGACCCTGGAGCGGCGGCATCCCCTGCCCAGCCTGGGGGGAAACTGCTCCTGCCCTGCCCAGGCGTTTGCTTTGTTCCTTCGGATGGAGGGCATCATGTGGACATCACTGTGAGGCTCCTGGGGGTGGTTTTGGTGGAGGGGCCGTGTCTGGGATCCGCCAGCGGCCATTGCTTTTCCAGAATCCAAGGTCATCAGAGACTAAGAGGACACCCTTCCAGTTTCCCAAGAGTTTTGTTAGCCCCTTCTTAAAATTAAAAATAGATGAGTTGCAGACGAGTCCCTCCCGACTTCTTGTGCGCATTGCCTGTGCTAACTTTGTGACCACAGTGAGGCAGCTGGCGGCAGACACACAATGTGTGTGTGCACACACACCTGTGATGAACAATGGGGATTTAGAGGTAGTTTTACTCAGTCACATCAGATGTGTGTTCTGGCCCAAGGCAGGGCCCACTGGCCACAGGTGGGTGCACCCGTGCCCTTGGCTGTCCCACGACCAGACAAGGCCGAGAGCCTGGGTGGGCCAGCAGGTCCCAGCGGAAGGAATTTCTTCCTGTTTTATTTCCTGTAGTTCTGTGGGGCTAGTTAAATCACAGTGTCAAAACCAATCTAAGGAGAATATTTTCATGAACAAGTACTACTTTTTTTTTTTTTTACTTTAGTAGGAAATGTGTGGCTGGTCCCGTGGGCTCAAGGAGACATTGAGTGTTAAGTGACGGAAAATGGGCTGATTTCCAGGGTTCATATTTTCCCTCTCTCTCTTTCTCTCTCAGCTTGCACCTACAAAAATCAGGAGTGCTGTCTGACCGTCCACTATGAGAACGGATTTTCTATTACCACTAAACCGCAGGAGGGGACCCTTCCTAAGACAATCATGCAGGCTCCTTATGAAAAGCTCAAAATGTCTTCGGATGATGGAATCAGGATGCTGTACTTAGACTTTGGAGGCAAAGATGGCGAAATTGTAAGTGCTTTTCTTTAGACAGTGTGGTTTTGTGTATTTCCTGTGCAACATAATGCTGCCTGCATATATTCAGCATGTGATTTTTTTTTTTGAGTTGGAGTCTCACTCCATCGTTCAAGCTGGAGTGCAATATCACGTTCACAGCCACCCCAGCGTCGACCTGTTGGGCTCAGGCACTCCTTCCACCTCAGCCTTCCATGTAGCCGCAACTACAGGCGCTTGCTACGACGCCCGGCTAATTTTTTGATTTAGTGTAGAGATGAGGTCTCACCAAATTGCCCAGGCTGTCCTCGAACCCATGGGCTCAGGCAAGCCCGTCACCTCAGCCTCTCAAAGTGCTGAGGTTACAGGCTGAGTCACCATGCCTGGCCAGCATGTGACTCTTAGCAGACTGTTTCAGGCCCGTGTTTTACATGATCCTTAAAAAACAGTGATTGGATTCAATTATCTCAAAATTCTTTCCTTTAATCTCATTTTCTGTGAAATGACGACATAAATATTTGAACCAAAGAACAATCCTTTGCAAAGTTCGCGTTAAATTCTTATCACCTAAGGTCTCACCAGCTTTGAAAACATGCCAAGCATCTCAAAAAAGCCTCAAGTATCTAATATAACCACGGTGTGGAGCGAGGTTTGGGGACGACAGGGAGCAAAGGCCGGGCGTGCTCGTGAGGGCAGAGCAGGGGCAGCGGGAAACGGGGAGGAGCCGGGTGACTCCACAGTGAGAGGGCCGGACAGGACACGGATGCTCGGGGCGCGTGTCGCCGCACAGCCACACAGCCGGCAAATGCGTCAGTGAAGTCACGCTTACACTCATCTCAAGGCCGGTATCCAGTGTCTGAATTCCTGCTTTCTAGTGAGCTCTGCACCCGCCTGCCACAGGGAGGGCGTCTCTCACGCCCCTTGCCCGGAGGCTGAGGTCCCACCGTCGTCGCTCTCCAGCAAGTGTCCTTGTGGGGTCTTGGGAAGACACCGCATCCTATTGGTGCTGTCGTGTGCAGGACATCATGTGTAGTAACAGTCTCTGTGTAGGTCCGCCCTAGCCGCAAGGGTAGCCAACAAGTGCTTGCTGACTTTCAGGAAGGCACTTGCCCCGGCACAGGCATGGTGCTCCGCGTGCCCTGGACGCCGCCATACGCCTGGCCCCGTGGGCTCCAGAGCTCTTGCCATGAGAGGCACAGGCATTGGGACGCAGGCCAGCCTGTGAGCGGAGCCTAGCCTGCACTCACCTTCTGAAAACGATTTCCAGCCAGCCATTGTCCTGACTTCTGAAACGGAGCTGCAGAACTGTACTGAACTTGGGTTTGTTTATTTGTATGTTTCAGCCAGTAAATCCATCCCTGAGGCACCCATTTCACTAAGAACCCTTCCCGTTTGGTGGCTGCTCTGTCAATCACCCGATGGTGTCCTTTTTCCTAAGGGTAACTATGCTCTAGCAAAGCGGGAAGAACAAGAATCGGTCTCCTGCTTTGTCCTTGGCTCAGAAATTCAAGGCTACTTTTGCCTCTGAGGAAAATCACTTATGTTGAAACTTCCGCCTTTTCTGCCTGTAATTACAGCCTGAGTTGGAAGATTTAGGAAGGACTGATATTTTGCCGCCAGTACGTCCAGCTGAGAAGCTCAAATTCAGACACAGCCCTGCCCTTCCCAGGGTCTGGCTAAGCACCCAGGAGGGGGCAGCCGGCCTTCCCAGTGGGGGAGGACAGAGAAGCATGGCAGGAAATGAAACAGACCCAGGCTCAAAGTCTGCAACCAGGCTACCAACTGTCTTGGGAAAACCTTTTCTTTCTGTCCATTCTCGTCTCACCATCCATGAGGTGCCAGGACTGACGTGGGTGATCCTTACTTAAGGCTTCTTCTGTGACCTGCCTTCCATGTTGATGGCGCGGAATGTGGTGGCTAAGGCCTGGCTCTGGCGTCACACTTGTGTCTGAGCCCACCCTTCTCTTTACTCTTGCTCCGAGAGCTATGATTTCAGAAAGTCTTACAGCTTCTCCGGTCCCAGTTTCCCCACACTAATCGTAACTAATCGTGGAGCTAATCGTAACAGCTGTCATCACAAGCGGGGATCTGGTGTGTGGTCCGTGCTGACACACACTCACTTTGGGAGCCGTCATTCACGCAGGTCAGTCATACCCCCAACAAGGTCGTCATCGGAACAAAACCGGGGACATGGAGAAGCATCGAGAACTGCCCCTTTCCTAAGGGAGGCCGGGTGGTGGAGTCACTTCTGGCGGTGACTGTGCGTCTTGCAGGTGTGGGCTCTGTAGGACGCTTGAGAAGAGCGAGACTAGCAGGTGCTCTCCCCGAGAGATGGCGCGCATGCTTAGGGCGGCTCGGGAGTGGAGGGCGTTGTGAGCACAGCCGCCGAGCACGGGTTCTGTGCTCGCCAGTCTGTAAGGAAGGTTCACCCATGGCATTTCCTCCCAGATGCCGGCCCGAGAAGAATTTTAAGTGACTTGTCCCAGATCATCCACCTAAGGAGTGTCAGGACCAGGACTCAACCGAATCTTCAGATGTGGAGCGTCGTCCTGCGTCATGCTGTACCCAACCCAACACACAACCGCTGGCACAAAAACCAGATCGCGCAGACAGCCAAGAGGGCAGCCTCAGCGTTTAGGGCACTGGCTTAGCTAAGTTCCACAGAGCCCGTCTTGGAAGAAAGGTGGCAGGATGTGAGGAATGAGTTCGGAGAGCGGCTCCTGCCTCTCCCCGAGGGCAGCGATTTCCAGGTGCGGCTGCTCCAGTTAACACTTAAAAGCAGGACAAGAGGCGGACGTGTGTGATGGGGAAATCACGGTTCTGCATCAAGCATCCATTTAAAATCTCTCTCTCTCTCTTTTTATATTTCAGCAGCTGGATCTTCATTCCTGCCCCAAGCCTATCGTTTTCACCATCCATTCCTTCCTGTCAGCCAAGATTGCCAGACTGGGCCTGGTGGCCTGAAGGAGGCGACTGGCCTGGGAGCAACAGGAGGGCTGCCGGCAGCATCCACAGAGAGCACGCGTGGCACCAGCTTGAGCCCACAGGGGTCACTCGCACCTGCCCCAGACGGCCGGTTTCCGCAGCTGCAAGGGTCCCCTGAGCACGCGCCAGGAGGGGCATCCGAGCAAAGCCTTCGAGAACCCTGCGGGTGAGGGCGAGGGTGGCTGGAAGCACAGCGGCTAAGGAGCGGCAGCAGGAACGGCCATCGGAGCGGCAGGTGCAGCCTCAGCCCCGCCAGCTTCTAGGTCGCCGGCTCCCGGGTCAGCAGGGTCTGGAGAGCTGAGAAAAGATTTTCACCTCCCTTCCCCGGTCCTGGACCCCCGTGGCCCCAATCCCTTGTTCTGTTGCGACTTATTTCCTAATTCTGGTTGAGCTGAATTTCACTGGTGTGGAAAGAAAAATCTTCATCTACTTGTAATGAGTTATTTTTCAGTAGGGTAGCGTGATTCAGAAGTGTTCTCATTAGCATATGCTGAGCAGGAATTAAAGATACTGATCTGAGGGGCAAGCTAGTGGACCCTGAGCCAAAGGAGGCTCTTGATGCTGAAACTGATCAGCTCTGCTGAGGGGTCGTGCACGCAAAAGACGCGTAGGTCTGGGCCCACACTCACGCCAGGGTCTGCTGTCTTATAGCCAAGACTGAGAGCTACATTTATAGACAGCAGATTTATGGGTATTTTCCCAGAAAGACTGTTACCCGGTTTATGTATCACCAAACAACTCACATGGTTAGGGTTAACAAATCGTCCCCCTCTTCGTGGTACCAAGCAGCTTCGCAGCCCTTGTTTCTGCCTGCGCTTGTGTGCACGTGTTTTCAAGCAAGTTAAAGCTTTAAGGCCCCCTTTAACGCCTGATACGGCCTGGCGTGTTGCACGTGGACCCAGCGCTACAGTCAAACCTGTTGATGGCAGCTGCAGCTCTTCTGGAATTCCAGGGAAATTATATAATGGCTTGATATTTTTCTACAAGAATATTTTCAGACAGTATACAGCACATTTCTGGTTCAATGCTTTTGCTTTTGTCTTTCAAAACAAAGTCACTAAAAATAACACTGTTGTTTGGAGTCACTTTTCTCAAACCTTAGCTCTAGAATTTCTGCAAGCATTTCTAGTACTCACTTCCCCTATAGTTTACATAGACAGACATTGTGTTAGGCCTGTGTGTTTTTTAAGAATTATACTTTAGCCAACACTCAGGCAAAAAGTGAAACTTTTAAAGGAACATGACTTTGCTCACTGAGACTTATATGTTCATCGAGTTGCAAAGGTTTATTTTAAACCAGCGTCTCCCCAAAGGAGCATCATATGACACTCGTTCCAAGAGGCTTGACTGGGTGGCGTTTTGTTGGGCGGAGGGAGGGGTGGGGGTTTGGTAATGCATATTATGAAATGCTGAATTAAGAAGTGGTAAACAGATGCCATAATTGCCGGCTTCCTCCAAGACTTTAAAGCTCCTTGGGATTCTTCCAGGGGGAACCTGGCGAGCCCGTCCTCACACGTCCCTACAGAACTCCTTTCACGGAGCATCTTGCAAAGCTCATGTTTCTTTAACAAATGCTTTGGAAAACACAGCTTTGGGAAGTTGACTTTTTGTCTGTTCCCTGTTTTAAAATGCTGGAAAGTGGAGTCCCAGCTTGAATACTGTAGGAAAGCTTTGATGCGTTTGTACGTCCCATTGCACTCTTTCACTACATATTTTCAAAATCACTGGAATGTTATTGTATAAGAGAATTATATTTGTGTATTGTAAAGAAAACATATATTGATGCCAATAGCTTAATTCAACAATGTGTAATCTAAGGTGCTCGGTACTATATGAAGTATGAGTTAATTACTCATAATTAAGTTGCCAAGATCCTATTATATATTTATAGACAAAATGATCATTAGAAATATAATTTGTCATTTAAGTTTTGGACTGATTAATATCTATCTGTGTGGGATCAACAGAAACTACATTCTCTACATTTATAAAATTAATTTAAATATTTATATTTTAGGAAGAACATATTTGAATAAAATTAATGCATTTTCCAAATTAAATTAAAATGTGTTACTAGCAAGAAATAGAAAACTTTACTAACACAATTGTGTTTATGTTCAATTTCTCCCTCCAAGTTAAAGTGTATCCTAATAGAGTAGCTCTGGATGGGTCCATTTCCAGTACTCCTTTTTTTTCTCATTTTGAATTCAACAAGTTATAAGTACTTGACACTGTAGATTTTAACCTTGTCTTGATGCATTCATGTGTGTGATACAAACTCGAAGTCAGTGAATTAACTTTGTCCCGTTTGCTCTGTCCCGTGACTTACTAAATTTACAGTGCTTGCCCTAAATGAAAGCCAGTGCAGATGAACGATGTTTTAATCTGTACTTTATGGGACGCTGTTGGTCAGTAGATACGGCCAGCAGGAATACAGATGCCAATTTTTCTCTGACTTGAACCAAGTAGAATAAAAAGTATTACAAACTACCCATTTAATTAATTCTGTCACCTGATGGAGCTAAAATTCTGAAGACACATGCCCCTTCGTCCCAAAGCTCATTGACCCGCTTGACTGAAGTAGGAAACCGTGGTCTTTAAGTGGGCGGGGCCTTTCTGACCCCCATGGAATATCAGATATTCCATCTTGAGGGGGCTGGAGTAGGCTGGAGTGAGGAGGTAACTCTTCCATGTACCTTGACTTTTTAAAAAAGTGCCTGTGTTTATAACACCATGAATATCATGTAAAACTCATATGTGGATTAAATAAATATTTGCCTCTGATTTCCGGTGCAGAAGCGTACATTCTATTCCAAATAGACAACACGGTGAACTGGATGGTGGTTTTGGGAGTCACAGAGGAACCGTGGGAGCGCGAAGCCGAGGCTCACCATCGCCGTTCTCTTCTGCCAACACTGGCCTCGCGGGTGCTGAGGGTCAAGGGATGCCGCCGCAACTCTCGTGCGTGGGAACTCGTGTCGTTTTTGTCTGAATTCATGTAAGATATGCAGGTTTATTCCCACTGAAGAAACTTTAACACACTCCCTAAAATACTGGTATTGTCCTCCAATTATTAAGTTGACTACAGTTGCAGGATGGGCCTTCACCTAAGGCTTCGGGCTCTCAATTTTCTTTTGAGTCGGAGTCTCACTCTGTCGCCCAGACTGGAGTGCAGTGGCCGCGCCCGGCCACCGCAGCCTGGACCTGCTGGGCTCCGGCGATCCTTCCGCCTCAGCCTTCCAAGTAGCTGGAACTATAGGCACACGCTACCATGCCCGGCTAGGGGCTCTCATTTTTAATAAGTTTTCATGGGATTTGACCAGTACACAAGCCCAAATACACAAATTTCTGTAGTGCTGGAATTTGGTTTGTGTATAAACTGCTTGTGACAAATGTAGCAGGTTGGGCTCTTGAAGTATTTTCACTAGTTGAAACTTCAGAAGTACTGAGAGTCGATTGAGAACTGTAGAATCTCAGTTTTGAAGAGACCTTAGAGGTCCTCAAGCACGTTTTTACCAGAGCTTATTTATGATTTCAGCAGTACTACCACTGTATATTAGGGTATATGAGTTGCTAGGAAGACAGCAACATAGTATATGTGTGTAAAAGTGAGTAGATACCAGTCGAAGTTTTTTAACGTCTGTCTCGCCTAGAGCACTCCCACACATACACCCTGGTCCGCACTACATCCTTGGAAACACTGGCCTTGTATAATGTTCCACTAAACTCCGGAATCTTTTCCAGAACATCTTGAGATTGCTCCTCCAGGCTGGAACAGAAAACTTCGGGCCAGAGGGAGAGACCCGCATTTCCCCAGGTGGCCATTCCATTGCTGAATGGCCAGTTGTTAGAAAGTTCTTACATCTTTAGAGCCAAGACTTCTACCTGACTAACATGCAGTCATACCCTGGTTCTAGAGAACAACAGAAGTCCAATTTCTCTTCCACGTGAATGTCCCATATAAAAAGATGAGTCAAGGCCGAGAGCGACTAAGCGATGTCCAATCATCTGAAAATGGCTTTAAATAGGACACTTAAAACGCCTCCTTTTCATCTTTAAAGAACTAGTTGGCTAAGATTAAAGCCGCCTAAAAACTCAAAACACACAGACCTTTATTTATTCTGGAAACACAACCGCACAAGTGCACGAAAGAGCAACGTGAGCAGGTGCTTCACCTTTGTGAATAACTCCGGACCGAGAACCGAGAGGGTAGTGGCGCCCGAGAGGCGCGCGGCCAGCAAGGCCATCTGCAGCGTCGCTTGTCACAAGACGCCAGAAGAGCCCACACGCCCACCCATGGCTAAAGGGACCCTGGCCAGAGCGCATTCCAGTGTTCCGCAGCTGTCGGCAAGAGCGGCTGATCCCTGCAGGCCAACGGACGGAATCTGCAAGGGCAAGCTCTGCAGCATGGCCCCCTTTTGAGTGCTCCTTTCAAAGGCTTCCCGAGAAGAGCCTGTCCTTGCCCCACCCCCCAGGGCATTGTGGAGATCTGCCAGCGCTGTTGGGTGTCACGGAGACTTAGGAGGGGCACACCAGGGGGACTTGGTGGGCGAGAGCCCGAGCTGGCGGACACCGCTACCCACTCAGTTCCCGGGTCCTGGGTTTCTCGCCAAGGTGAAAAGCCTGCTCGCAATGATCTGGACCTTCACACGTTTTGTACATGAAAACACTTTGCTTCCGTACGCTCTTATGTATTTCCTTCTTCTTTTCGCTTTCTTAAACTTTCCATTTTTTTAATTTAGAGATGTGGGGTACAGCCGGGCTCGGGGGCCCAGCCCGTCATCCCGCGCCGCGGGAGGCCGAGGCGAGCGGACGGCCTGAGCCCGCGGGCTCGAGACCCGCCCGGGCCACTTGGCGAGCCTCATCTCGGCAACAGGCCCAAAATCA